CGGCTTTGGCTCTCTGGAGCTGTTACGCCACGGATTTAATTTTTTAATTACGCACAACTAGTCTGCGTGTGACGTATCAACTATAATACCAAGCTCAACACAACTGTCTTATAATGTCTAACTGGTTATCTCCCAATCTCAAAAATGTCCAGAGTCACCATATTATTATTACGAATGATAAGTAAACACAAATTAAGAAAGTGTAAGTCTGTAAAGTCACAATGCTAGTACAGAGATTTGTGGAGATCTTTAACTTTGTTTGAAGTTACTCAGGCACTTTGACATTAAGAAAGATATTATTGTTTCTCTTCAATAGATAAGGCATGCCAACTTTAAAAATATGAATGCAATTTACAGATATATTAACACTGTCACCGCAACGTTACAGCACGGAAAATAGGCATGTTATTTCTTCTCGAAACACATCTTTTATCTTTTCTTACCCTACTTTTACGTTTACGACATATTTGTGATGGCATTTATACGTACCTAAAATTGAAATATATAAACGACGCTCATAGCTGTGGTAATGTGGTACAAATTTGATCAACGAAAGAAAAATGCTGATTACGGACCATGATGATTCGCTGACAACTCACCTTGCAATAGTGTTCGCTGTCATTTTTAGCTGAGCTAAGCCGTTTTAGACAAAATAGTTTAATTACTGCAAAATAATACGATTACATTTATATATATGTCCTGTAATTTGCTCGCCGCAACACACAATTTCGAAGCTCAACTATGATATTCTATCTCCATAAGTTTCCAACGTACAGAAATATCTTCATCGGGATTCGAACTCAGGATAGTTACTCATGTTCCTAACCTTTGTTCTGTAATCTCCTCGCCGTTCTTCTATCGCATTTAGTTTCCATCTTACAAAAACCACTCTTCCCGAGACCTGAAGCCATGATACTTTTAATAGTTTCGAACATTATAAAATGTCTCTCTGACATCAAATGCCAAATGTGTGGAAAATTGAATCGCTTATATGAGCGAACATACGCACTCACATACAAAGAATTTCAGTCTATTTGAGATTTCAGGTTTTCACGGCGGCGAGTATTAAGATGATTGTCTTTCAGGATGTCGCGCCATTTGGTAAAATATAAATTAACCGACGTTTCAGAGATATTTATTGTCTCCGTTATTGCACTGATGGTGAAGTCAATAATTATCTCTGAAACGTCGGTCAATTTCTTCTTGACCAAATGGCGTAGCGTCCTAAATCACATTCAGTCATCTTCAATTTCAGTTTTACCAATAATAAAACAAAAGACAAGAATTAAACGAAGATTCTTAAGCTGTAAAAGGTGGTACCTAAATCATTCAATTTTTCAAATATTCATCTTGAAATAACAGAAACCCCGTTAAAATGTACATCCTACTACGTTAAACGTGTACCAACTGTAAACATGCAAGCAACGGTGATTCATTTTACGTGCACATGACATTGTGAGAGGAAATGCAGTTTTATATTAACCTTATCCTTAACACAACCTAATCGCTAAATATTCTAAGTTAATTCATAAAGCTAGTCTTCATTGCGTTGTAAATTTTTACCAAAACTACGCTGTTTCAAAGAATGTATCAAGTTTCATGAAAATTCATATTAGTTGCCACGGCAACATTACAACGTCAAGACGTCCATTTAGGATTTTAATGAAAATCATTGCGAAAGCCGTACAATTAAAGTTTTCGCTCTTTATTAATAAAAGCACATTCCATTGAAAACAACATATGAGCTTATATTATAAAAAAATATTGACGAACTGTATACGATGTGAATCATATAGTTTAATCTAAGTCTGAAATTCTGAAATAACTTGGAAAATACAGATTTATATCTGGGGTAAATTAATATACAACATAAAGAGTACATGGAACTCTCAAAGGTGATTAAAATCCGACAGCCATGTTTTAATAAAACCACTCACAAACTTCAAAGTGACTGCGAGGAGATGTTCTGCTTCCTTTCAGTAAAACTGAAGGAGCGAAAATAAGTCGACAAGACGCATAGGTTCGTTTATTCAGAAAAAAACGGAATATCAAAATTAAATAACAAAATCTGCAGATGGTCTGCTTATATACAGCCTGAACTAAACATCGCGCCCCGTATAAATAGAATGCATTATGACAGAACGAGTGGATCGGGCATCGTGGTCCCGAGAAATGGCCACCGTGGTCACCGGACCTTATGTCTGTAGACTTTTTCCTCTGGGGCCACCTAAAGCTTGTGTTTACATCGATAGACCATAAATGCCCAGGAACTGCATAACAAGTTAAAGTAACTGTCTCAGTGTGATAGAATCACTGTGGACATTTTGCGACATGTGCAAGCAACTCACACGTTACATTTTCTTAAGTACCTAGAACATGGTGGCCAATAATTTAAACATTTGCTTAAAAGAAGATGATTCGACCGTAAACCATACGGGGCGTGTATTTTGACCCAATCAGTTCAGTCGGTTTCTACGAGTTTGAGTCATTTATTGTTAAATAATTCAACCAGAGTTTCCAAAGTATGGAAAGAATGATAAGTAGAGAAAAAATTACAGGAGTACGCTGGCTTATGTAAACTTAGTGATGTTCACAAAATGACTACTGTAACGAAGCATCTACAAAAATATAATTCGTATTTTTAAAGTTTTTATGATATACATCGCAACCCTAAGTCACCACGAAAATTCAATATTGCCACATGAAATGTGACGATTTATCGAGAAACAAACACCTCCCTCCTACTACCCTAATACAAGATAATTAACACTCTGTACTCGAATTTTCTTTTAAGTAGGGATTATTTACTTTATGTAAGTATGAAAAGTCTATTAAAGTTTAGTTGAGCTCCGAAAAATAGGCCATTGCTGATTTCTTCTTCATTTTGTCTTCGGGGATTACGCAATTTAATGCCATAACTGGCTCATAATCCTCTTTCAGCCTCCCCATGCCCCCCGCGGTGTTCATCATTCTCACGATATTACAGGTTCGTAATTCCATGTTATCCTCGTCTAGCGGCTTCATCCAGTTTATGAAATCATCTTTCTTTCTAATCCTATCTCTTGAAATGATTTTATTTTGTTTGTTCCTCACGTCTTTCAGTACTTTTTGTTTGCTCTAACCATGTATATTCAACTAAGAGTCTTAACTTCTCGCTTCTGACACCATTGTCCGTCCTTAATCTCTGTCGTTTCGTGGCCTAAAGAATATTTTGTAAAGTTTCAAATACGAATTCCTGGATTTTAATTTTTTAATTAATTGCACGTTGATTTTTAAGTCCTATGTAACAGCAATTACTGTTAAAATTAACAAAAAAGAAGGTATAATTTGGATGATCGTTGAAGTTGCTCTACAAATAACGCCGGGCGGACCAAGCCATGCCTCTGCTCTGGCTGTTAGTCACCGGCTTCCCACAGTGAAGGTCGGGCTTCGCTCAGGTCGGTCGACGTGGGATTTGTGGTGGACAATATGACACTTGAACACGTAACGTAACGTCTGTTTGAGCGGAGAATTGACTCGACCTTGAAAGAATGATGTCATTTTGAATGCTGTTCTAAAAACACCCCCCCATCTAATAATATCCCCAATGTTGGAGAAATCTGCATGTTAGAACTTACAGGTGTGTTACTAGTGATCTACGTAAACCAAGAAACATTAAAAATACAAGAATTATACTGAAAAATATATCGTTAGGAAACTATTAGATCACCGAAAGTCAACCGATGTTTATACACCGCATGTCAGAATGGCAAGGCGCCTGTGCGGATGAGTACTTCTATTTAAAGATCGGGTCAATTCTCTGCTCAAACGGACACCATTTCTAAGAGTCCTGTTGTTCCCTAACAAAATCATTCCGCCGGTGGTCCACAATCGTCCATGCATTATAAAGGGAGTGAACAATGGACCCGTCATGGTCCCAGTTTCACACACACACACAGTCTTACCCCACTGCAACAATAATAATGGAGTGGACGAACCGAGTTCGATTCCAGTGCAACGGGGTGAATGTCATATTCGGTATCGAGGTAAATAACTACAACCCATCCGAACACAAGGAGAATTAGAGACAAATACAGATACCGGAATGGACATTTTTATACTATTCGTAACAACGCTAACCACAAGATTGCAAGGGAGGTATTGATGCTAGGATTAGAAAGGCCACAAATAAAACCACGATGTCAGTATAATGACAAAGAGTCACCTTCAGACGAGAATGGAGCAACTTCCGAAATGTGTACATCAAATATATGTCAGAAAATGAAAAATGTTTGAGTGTTCCATTGTCACAAACCTTTAGAGAATCCTCTTGAAATCATCCGAAATCCTAACCAAGACATTAGAATGGGAGAAAAACAGTCGGAGCTTGATGGTACTGCCAAGCCCAAAAAATGCGTGGGCCTTTATATTCTCTTCTCGTAGAAACCTTTCAAATATAGTGATTTTGCCCATTTTAGCCAAATTTCCTTTCTTATGGGAGAGAAAATGGGCTTCAGGAAATTACCATTCAATCTGTGGATATCGCCAATTCAATCTTTGACCCCACCAACCGAAGTTAGCGTTACGAAATACCCTGTCACTCAACCTTTAATTTCCTACAATTAGTAATACAAATTTGTTACCTTCGTGTTAGCTTATAATTTGAGTTACTGTAAGCGTCGAAAAACAAACTAAGAATAAATACATAAATACATAACATATTTATATAATAAGCAAGTGTTGTTAGCTTGATTAGTTGATTTGTCATTAATTGCTGTTAATGGGTCTTGTGCCTCATGGGATAACATTTATGACTGTGCGTGTTTATTACATTACACTCCCTCACCCTTGTTAAAGGTTAATTTACCAACGGGAAGACAAACAAACAAAGCCTGACTGAAGAACCGCCCAAGAAATCATATCCCAAAAAATATTGCACTGTGAACATTTGCTAGTGAGTAACAAAAACAAAAAAAACAAGAAAGAATGTTACTGTTTCCAGAATCATCGGCATTACTTACCAATTACGGTCAGATTGACCAAGGAGTTTCTCGTGGGCGAGCCCTGGAAATCGACGCGGCACCTGTACGAGCCTGCGTCAGTATCACGCACGTCCTCGACTGCGAGATGCGTCCCTGCCGGCTGATCGGCGTCCGTCACGCGAAAGAACGCGCGTCCTCCCAGGGCCTGTTCGTCCGCCCAGTGAGTCGCCTGGTCTAAGGAATGACCCCGTGCGTCCAGGCTGTAATCCAATAAGAACAGTAATAACATTGCGAACGTGACGCCCGCAACGTGACACTGGGCTGAAGACACACACAGGGCCATTGAGCCACCGTCACAGACATTATTTGCTCCAATACCACCAAAAATAAAACTAAACTACAAGAATAAACTTCTTGTACATTATTATAGTAATAATTCTTTGTTAAAAACGACGTTTCGGATACTAATATTTGTTTCTGTACTCAGGTAAAGGCTACCGACAGAGCCATTCCATATCTCTGGAAATTCCAGTCTCCGAAACGTCGTTTGTTATAAAAATTACGACGATTTGTAACATCCAAAAGTCTATTACTGTAACAATACGCCAGTCACAAAACATCAGGTTTGGTTTAAAACTACAAGAGTACTATCGTACTCCGAGGTCAGCCAAGTAAAAGGTCAGACTTAAAACCATCACTTTTTAAAGTTTTTTTAAATTTTAATTTAATATCCTAGACAAACCCTTACGTCGCTCAATTTGTTTTACATTACATTGAGTAGGCTATTACATTGTCGTCTATTCCTTGATCGAATGTGACTTCATTTATTTTTAATCGACAAAATGGTCAATATCACACTAAATTCCCCGCCGCCTTAATAACATCGGACATCAATCACACTTGGATGTCTTTTTTTTGTTGATTGAAGTACGAACAATGTGATTTTGAGCCATTAAATCCGTTTAAGTTCAAATGTTTTTACGCAAATCGTTATGTTAATGTGCTGCGCTTTTGGTAATGAGATATTCCAAGTGCGATAAAGTTCACTAATGATAATGTTATATCATTAACATAATTATTCTCATATAAACCCCCGGTCTAAAATTCCCTCCTGTCCTAAATTAGTAACGAAATCTTCTAGAAAAATTTCCATGTGATATTTACGAAACTATCATTTACAGCAACAAAACTTTAGTTAGGCCTCTGACATACCATTCACGAGCTCCTGTTTCTTAAATCACTTGAAGAACTAGATTAAACCATTCACAAGCAAAAACCACTTCGAATCCGTGTTTGTTACCACTTTACCAAACGTCGCATCCGAGGGTTAAACACTTCCACTTTGCATTCGGAAGTTTCCAGTTTCAAATCTCAGTCCTGAAATCGGCTATCCTGACTGAGTTTTTCGTATTTTACCCAGTTTCTCCCAGAAAATGTCAAGACAACGCATTAATGTAGGTCAAAACCGCTTTCTTCTACACCCGTTTCATTTTATTAGCCATTATTCGTCATTATATAAACTTATTTGCAGTTTAGGCGTTAAATAAATCATAAATAAAAATAAAATATTTCCTTTCTCCCCACACACGACTACACCCATAAGGAAGTTTATCTTCATGATCTCCTACTGCGTTCAAACTCTAGTTAGTTTCCCCTAAATAAAAGACACCCATCCAAGACGAAGTCGATATATTCCAATTGTTTTCTCACGTGTTCCCCTTAACACGGATTATGTCTTTCCACCGAATACGTCCGAAGGTCCACGTCCTTGTCCGAGCCGTAGGTGCAGTGTTTATAAATTATTACTCTCACAAATTATAAATATTTGTTTCTGAACTGAGACAGTTGTTTAAGGACTATAAGAACAACGATCAATTCGCATATGTAACATTTTATAGTAAACATAAAATGAAAGCTAAGACAATCTAAAATGTTCATAACAGTTTTTCTTATCATCCACAATTTATTTAAATAGTGTATTCGCCCTCAACCTTTAATTTTTCCTATGTTTCATGGACCATTTGCGTTGGCGTTCATTGGCTTCCTGCTTTTATCTCGATGAAAATCGATAACAGCTGTGTTCCATATCCATACCCTACAAGCACATAACCACCGACAACTAACAGAAAGTGTTAAAGCGATAAAAGTCGGAACCAGCATTCAGCTGACTGTGAAAAATGTAAATCGTCTTGCCTGGAGATTTTACGGATCGGAAATATATAAATGGACATCTACTCGGACCATTTATAACGTTTTATAATAACAGAACAGTTTAAGGCAAAAGGTTTAAAGTTTAAGACCAACATCAAAGTTACAAGGCCGCCACTTGTCGGCCATATGTGACTATTTATTCAACATATTCGATGCTACTCTCAATATTTTGAAGCCGTCTCCTATGACAGATTATGACGCCAGTTATTCTGTATACTAGCTTACACTAATTCCAATCAGATGGTTATTTTAACGTTATTAGTAGAATGTATCCAGCTAAAGTTATCCCAAAATAAACCTCATAAGCGATGGAAATGATGTGTCATTTTAAATTCCTTTTAAAAAATTGCTTATATAATCCCATGGACTCAGAGGACGCTTAACTTTCTTCCTCGTAAAAATTTCATGACGGCTTCAGATAATGTTCCCTGCCACTTATCCCTCGATTTACGAATGTAATTCGTTCTTTAAAATCCGATTGTAAAGTAAAAATTCGTAAATCGAAAAAGGTTCATATTAATTTCAATGTGACAAATTGTGATTTGTTCTAGACTTCCAGAAAGAAACACTCAATATTCTGGCCACATATGTAAGAAAATAATTAAATTATAAAAATAAGGTTTTCATTTATAGTTCTTACTAATTAATTCTGTCAAACATCACTGAAGTGTTAAATCAGACGGTTACATTGCAGGAATATCGAAATTACTGAAGTTCTAGTATAAAAAACAGATCTTACGTAAATAAACAATAAACAACTGCTTTTATCAAAACATTAATCATAGTACTGTAATAATCTTTAAAAATTAATGATAACAAATTAATTGGTTCTTCGTTGTAGCGAAAATTTGTAAATCAAAGGATACTTCTATATTAAAACAGAAGTGATTACCATGCACGTTTACGTATTGTAGTATGATATTACAGAAACAGTAACTGATAGCTACATGTAATGATTGTCTGGTTACTTATTATCAGGTGGAGTTAGTTCATAAAATCGAATAATTTATCAAACGAAGCTCGACAAACTTAATAATGCATGGTTGGGTAATAATCGGTTTACTGGTAGGGTTGAGGTAAAGCTGTCTCTAGCGCGTAACCAAGTGCCACGCCATGAAAACGTATGGAGAAACGCAGGTCTAGCTCCATCCATTCTTGACCTCGCCACTTGATACAGAACAGTAGTTAACTTTAGCTTCCTCAAAATCTTTGCCTATCAGCAAAGAAACTCCGGTTAATGAAACTTTAGTTAAGATTTCTGCCTCCGTCATCAGGGCGATGAATATTGCCCTGATGACGGAGGCAGTATGACCTCTGAAACGTTGGTTGACATCGACCAGACTACACTGCGCAATAACCCAGAAGACAGAAATCTTCATACTCATCGCCCTGATGACGGAGGCAGTATGACCTCTGAAACGTTGGTTGACATCGACCAGACTACACTGCGCAATAACCCAGAAGACAGAAATCTTCATACTCATCGCCCTGATGACGGAGGCAGTATGACCTCTGAAACGTTGGTTGACATCGACCAGACTACACTGCGCAATAACCCAGAAGACAGAAATCTTTATACTCACCGCTGTAAAAACCTCAAATTTTACAAATTTAGTTAATTTTTAAAGGTCTGCAGTAGTTTACCTACAGATAGCACGGACAACAAATTTTCAGTGAAAGTTATGATAAATTTTGTGTTCTATTCAGAAATACCGTTTACGTAACCCATACGTTTTATAGTTCTAAAACACACGCCCAGGTTATAAAAACACATCTTTATTAATTTGGGTATTACAGCGCCGTATGTTAGATGGAATAATAAACATTGATGAAAGTTTTGTTGATACAAACAATCGTTCTCCATGCCCCCCCCCCCATGTAAAATGCCGACTATTTCATGAATTCAAAGTATTTCCCTTACTAGTTAAGGGGAAAAGCATCACGAATATGTAAATAGGGAGAAAACACTGACTTCTCACGATTTATATCCGTGTACATAAAGATTTATACGGTGTTTCATAAATCAGTTTTCATATGAAAGGAAGTAAGTTTGTGCGTGCGTGTATGTGTGTAAAAAAAAGGCTTCCATATTTGTTGGAACGAAAGTTAAAAATAAAATTTTTGTCAGTGGTGAATTTCTCCTAAAAACAAAGTGTTCAAAGCAACTCATAAACGGATCTCATTTTAACACGCATCGTCATTAAATTTCGCCTACTACAATCAAGAACCACTGTTATAATTTCTTAAGAAAATAATAATATCCACAAATAAATTGTCGTGGTACCAAGTTTCAGGCCTGTGTTATCCCAATAAAAATCACACAAATTACGAACAAACTTATATGCCTAAAATCGTTGCAACCTACAAAAACCGAGCTTATCTGTCGTGTTTATGTTTGTTTGTCAGGGTTGTGACGCCATGCAAACTTTCAGGTAGGTGCTGAAGATGGAATCTGTATGTTCCTCCGTAACGACCACACGGAGTTACAACGCAGAAGGCTATTTACCGTAGTGATAACCTAAAATTTACAAGCTTACTTTTAAGTCGAACTGTCTGTAAGACCATTCTGCAATTAAAAATTCTTTCCACCTTTACATGTTTCATGTAATTTGAAGACCGCCCCTAATTAATACATTGCCAGACATCGAACTCTTTTCATATGACTGATAATTATCTGATCATTCTCTGAGTACAATGCTAACAACTTATCAAAATATTTGTACTATGTGTGTATACTTCGTTATGATACCGCTTTTCACCTAAATTATACGGCAGTCTGTGTTTATTTATACATCCTGTCGACTAATTTGTTTAGAGACCGGAGTTTAATGTTTCACACAAAACTCCTAGATAATTTACGTAGTGTTTACACACGTTCATTAAAATTACTAATTTGTGATGTTACTAAAGACAAGCCTAGCCAGTGGTCAGATGTAATACATATATTGTTCTGATGGTTCGTGTCTAACATCGGTTATGTTTTGTCTGATGATATTATCTTTGTTCTGCTCTGGTGTTAACAATAGGTAAACTGAAAACAAAGCGAATA